CCCCTCCCCTGCCTCGTTCCCTGCAGAATTTAGGCAGCAATATCAGCAGTGCTAGAGTGGGGATGGCCGACATTAATCCTCCATGTAGGGTCAAAGGGACCACAAACACCTTTGGATGAGGGCAGGCAGTTCAGTATTTTTTTCATTTCCATAGTGGCACCAGAAATATTGAAGAGGACACCTGAGAGCACCTACTGCGCTATCTGTCTGTAATCAAGATTTCAGTTTGGCAATGTTTTTATTTTCAAAGCACAGGAAACAGCAAAAATTCCTAAAGGCAGTAAAATGACAGTAGCTGACTTCATCCATACCTGACACATGGCCATTTTGGAGCACAGCAGAGAACACCTGCTAGGTGAAAAAAGCTTTTTTTTTTTTAAAAAAAAAATAAGGTATTTCTTACCTTTAAATCCAGATCCACTCATTCTAAAACCATGCTCTCTCTCCAGGCCAGACCAACTGGGTGTGGAGATATTGGTGCAACTCTGTGACCTGCATTTTGCAGACACTCAGTGATGATTATAAAGCTCCTGTCGGGCCCTAAAACCCGTGAATGTTACACATTTTGGCTCAAGAAATGAAGATGACTGCTCTTCAAAACTGAACCACAGGCATCTCCTTGGGACCTTTAATCAAAATTGAGTTTGTCAGGACAGCACCCTGTACTTGCAGGCCATGCTGAAGCCTGGCTCTATAATGACTTGGGAAAAAACCACAACACCCCTGCTTCAGCACCACTTTCTGCCTCCCAGAGCAAAATCTGTGTTTTTTGTGAACCATCTGCTCTTTTCACATTCCTCTCCTGGCTAAAGGTTGACCAAATTCTTTGGTTTTGCACAAACCCTTTCCACTCACGTGCAACTTAGTTTCAGTGTGCTTTTTGCACAATAAACCCGTATTTCACAAGCTGTCCTTGCTCTTGCAGTGATAAAGAACAATATTGTTGCTGCAAGAAATGCCACAAAACTATCAAATACCTTTGCAATTAACTGAACTGTACCAGAGTTTCAATAAGTGAATTGTTTAAAACAGATTTTGAGCATTCATTTCTTTTTTTGTACAGTACGCACTTTATTGCAGAGAAGACTGGATGCATTTTTAAAACAAATTCAGGAGTTGCACAGGTTCCAGACATTTCTACGAAGTGTTGCCCACAGTAACTTGAGTACAATGGAGTCCATCAGACAAACAGTAAGAGGGAACTCAATCCTGTCATCTGCAATCACTTGAGAGAGTCAGAAAATCTTGCAACTGATTATTTAAGAGCCATGTAAAACAGGTGGCTCTGCTCCTGTGAGCACCTCCGCCAGCAGAACAGAGGTTAACCGTGTCACTCCTGATTTACACCAGTGTAACTGAGACCAGAAGTCAGGCTTGTATCATGAAAGCAGCCAGTGAAGATTTTATGTCAGCGTGATACGCACGTGGTGGCAGATTTGTGATGTTTCCTGAAGAGCTTTATTTGGGATCAGATTAGAGACAGTGTCTCCCATTTCAGGTATTACTGTGTCTTTGGATTGATGCACAACTGTGCTGTCCAGTCCCTCTCCATATAGGGAAGAAATCTTGGCATGAAACCGCATCAAGTCATAACAGGCACTAACTACCACAATAAACTATAACACAGTCTTTGTCTACCCTGGATGCTGCTGCGTTTGGAAGCATCCCAGCGGGTCACAGCCAGCCCCAGGTAGGCTGAGGGTTAGCCTCAGCCCTGGGGGGGGGCTCACAAGCACATGTTCTTCAGCATATCAGTTAACAAAGATAATGCATTCTCCTAGCGAGACCATCCACAATAATTGTTTCTGAGAGACAGTGGCTGCAATTTGAACATTATAATATTTGATAAAAGTCCCCAACTTTTTTTTCTGTAAAATGTGTTTCCTCACCAATTACATACCACAAGTGAGGCCTTCTCTCTGAGCCACCATGGTGTGATATTAAATACAGCTCAAACTCTTGATGCAAGTCCAGAGCTTGGCCGAGGACACTGAGACTGAATGGGCTGGCACAAGACACATTAGCATAGAAAAGCCTTAAAACTACCAGAGTCTGAGATCTGTTTCTCACCTCCTACACCTTCTCAAAGCTTCACCGATACGAACAGTAATGGCAATTTTTACCAGCTGAAGATCTGACACACAGGGCTCAAACTCTACTCATGTAAAACCACACAGGAGTCAGAAATTCCCCGTGATGGATGTACAGTAGAATGGCTCAGAGTGTGTTCAAGGTATATGCTACAGAGGAGCATCTGGAGGTTGTTTTGTGTTTAAATGCTGATGTGTAGTGTGCTGATAGACAGTTTTCTTTACTCCTTTAGCATTGTGCCAGCTGTATGAAAGCTAAAATTCTACTGGGGTGAATGGGAACCTTGGGAAAAGTGACTGATTGAAAAAAGCCTCAGAAACTGAAGGCTTCTGTGTAATGTCACAGTGGGGATGGCAGGGATTGAGACAAGAAGAGTTCACCCAACCCACCATGTGCCTCAAAGCTTAATTTGGAAAGGATGCTTGGGGAGCAGGGGTGATAAATCATTCATCTGTCGCTTCCTGATGGCTTTGCCAAGGCTGCCAGTGCTGGCGGTTAGTAAGTGTGCGCATGTGACTTGCTAACTGAAAACCTATCCACAAGATGAGAGACCACAACTCACGGAGACTTTGGAAGGCCATCCCAAAGCGATGTGCTTCTGACATAGGCTAAATTTTAATCCGTGGTGAGTGAATGAGCCCGAGGCCCACGAATGCTTTAAGCTTTCACGTCTATTCCCTTTCAGAAGAAAACAGAAAATTATCACATGAAGTGGTCGCTAGGCACAAATGATCCTTCTTCAAACAGATCCCCACAGGTTTCCCCCTTGTAATTACTAAAATATACTACTTGACGTGTCACGACAAGTAATTGACATTTAAGGCAATCTAATTTCCACAGCCCTCCCATGATTTCCACCGAGCAGATCGCCTTTGTCTTCCTTCTCTAGGAACGATTTCTTGCACGTGAACATGACAAGCAGCAGCATTGGCAAATGCCACAGACTGCAGAAGAAGAGCTTCCTGGAGCTGCTGCGGTCTGCATCCCTGTAGAAACGAAAGCCGAGGTAGGAGATGTAGAGGTTAATAGGGAGTGAAATGACGGGGAAAGTCCACGTGGTGATGTTGAGAAGAGGAGCCGCCGTTGAGAGTCCGATTAAGGCCAAGCAGTGACGCAGAGCCACCCGCCTGCACAGCCCTGGGTGAGTGACGGACATCATACAGTAACCTCCTCGGGAGTAATCTTCCCGCAGACCCCAGCTCAGGGCGTTGAAGTGAGGGAACTGCCAGGAATAGAGGATTCCTCCTAACAGTAATGCACCTGCAGTGGGAGAGAGAGAAGGAAACATGCATTAGAGGGCCACTGCAAGAAGTGCTACGTGAAGACCTCTGCAGATTCGGGCTGTATTTGCAGAACAGCAGTGCTATGAACCTGTTACATCGCACTAAGCAGAAGACAAGGCATGCTCTGTAAGATAAGGCACACTCTGTTTTTAATGGCATTTACACAGGGTTGCACACAGTAGTTCTGGTTTTGGAGCACTCAATTTGAAAAGCATTTCAACAAGTCACTTCCTCCTAATGAACCATTGCTAATTGGTTTCTGCACCAATTCAGTCTCTACCTGAGGGAAGACTGATGGAAATGAAGCAAAATTGGGCAAGAGTCTGTTTTCCTGGGAGCCTCTAGCTTCCACTCCCAGGTTCCCGAGTTGGTGTGTCCAGAGCAGAGTGTCACATTGATCAGAAACAGGGAGCCCTGCTCAATGGCAGCAGAAAAGGAAGATAAGCTGCTTCCTCCTGAGAACTGGGAAAATGCCAGCACCCTGGTAGCCTGGAGCATGGCTGAGCTTTCTGTTTGCCCGTTGCATGAAGGGAGGGAATTGCTCATGGCACGGGAGTGCCTTGATTATGGACCTCGGGCAGGTGGCAGAACTGGCTGAAGCTGTTAATGAGGTGACAGAAGATGGAGAACTTTCTACTCCTTCAAACCAGTTGTAGGAACTTCCAAGCACTTTGATCAAATAACTCTAGTCACACCAATTAGCTACTTTTACGTTTAAAAAGGAGCTAAGCAAGCACCACATTTTTCACAGCTATCCTCAGGACATGGTACAGGGCTTATCGAGGCAGAAGCAGCTTGTATGCTGATTTCAGTGAGCTTCAAGGAGGCCCTCAGACTAAACTCCCTTCACTAATTTTGTCGGAAGACACAATAAGTCCCCCAAGGCTGTTGCACATTACGAGCATTCCTGGATTTTCCTTTTGTTTCCCCAGCTCCCAAACACTCCACTCCGTCATTAAAACTTTCTTTGCATCTCCCTGCCTCAATGAGCTCATTTTCTATGGAAACTACTTCTCAATTGGAGCACGAGTCTAGTTTTCTTAATGACTTGACAGAAACAGCAACAGCAACACTTATCTGCACGCAGGTTAGTGTATTTAAATTCTCCCCCAAATGCTCAGTTCTTTCCCAGTGACTGCTAGGGCTCTAACAAAGACCTGCCTCCTTCGAACTGCTTCATGGTTCACATCTTCTCTCCATCTGTTCTGGCAGCACGTTCCTCGGGGCTGTGCATGTCCAGTTCTTGTCTTAAAGAGCATACCTTACACTGGTGTTGTCATGCAAATAATAATAATCTACGCTTGCAAAAGAGCCTTTTTTTGCCCTACCTTATCAACCAGTGAAGGAACAGCCCACTAGACGTAATGCGGGTTTCCAGTTGCTTATAAGATCCAGTAGTGGTATAAAAGACCCGTCTCACTGCTTTTTAAAATGAGTAACAAATACTCCATTAGGTGAGTACACATGCCTCTGAAAGTTGATTACACGAAGCACGGAGATAGACGCTCATATATTGGGCATACAGCTTTCAGAACAACATTGCCTGCTATGAATTACAGGCGATTTCCTGGACTACGGCCCAAAACGCTTGCAAATCCTACCATTCGATCCTACTAAAGTTGACTTTCAGGGTGTGGATGCTTAGCCCCCTTCTCCAAATCAGAGCCTTTTAAGATCGTTCAAAATGGCGCACCCCAAAATTACAATACGTTCAGAAAATCATGGCAACAAAAGTAATTTTGGCCCTAACAAAACAGGATTTGATTCAGTTCAGCTAAAACCCAAGGGAATGGCTCTACTGAAATAAACTAAAATAAAACTTAATCAAGGACCAGTACTCCCTACACTAGGAGAAACAATAGAGAAAATGTTCTTGTAATATGTCACTCTTCAGCTTTGTCCTATTCCTGTAAAATATATTACCGGAGGCATGATCTTGAATTTGATAAACCTAAGATAGGAATATTTTTCAAGTTTCACATCTGAAGTGCTTTAGAGACATTAGTTTGTCATTTTTCAACTTAGGGAAAGGCAAGCCACAATTATCCGTCAGCTGAGGAAATTTAAGTAGATGGAGCCAGGGCCAGGATTCAGAGGCAGAGGCTGTCCCTGCTTCCCACGGCTACGGACCAGCCAGCTTTTCATCTGGCATGTGCTGCATCCCTGTGTTTCAGCTCTAACGCGGGCTTTGCTTATTCAATTGTTCAAACATTTTGTGCAGCCAAGCTCAAAACACACCCTAAACCTCAAACACACAAAAACTTTTAACAGTTCTCTAAGTATAACACCATTAAAAAAAAAAAAAAAAATCTGGAGAGACTTTTAAACACAAACAGACCAACTAACCTACTTGAGGCTGGATTCCCATTTACAAAGCTCTGGTTTCTACATGCAAGCCTTTGGAATTTAATTACTTTGATTACATTACAATTGAGATAATTGATATTTTACAGAGAAGCTGAACAGTAAAACAATTTAATAGCCCATTATGAGGATTTTAACTGACCCGATCTTTTTGTTAGTTTCCCATGTGCCTTGGACATTCTGTATTTTCTCTGCCCAGGCTGAGATTGTCAGGTTGTCAGAGATTTTTAAGTGTCACGTAAGACTGATGACTTGCAAAGCACAGCACATGGTACAGTACAATTCAGCATCAAATGAGCCCACAGTAGGAATCCTGTCAAGCCCAGAGCAGACACTGTAATGCTCATTAATTACTAGATGAATGTTAACTATGTCATAATTAGGTCAGCAGTGTTTTTAAGCAATATTACAGCGAGACTAACTCTGGAGACTAACCTGGTTCAAAATAGTGCGGAGTGTACTCTGCTGCTCTGTGCAGTTCCCAACAGTTTGGAAACTCAGTTTAATCAATGCAAATCTCCTTTTTCTCTATGGAGTTTACAATTAAGTGAAGACCAGACGAGGTTGTTCACAACTGTAACGTGTGGAGCTGGCACAGAGTTTGCAAAAGCAAAGCCGGCTGTCGGAGCAGAGCCATCACGCTTGCTTTGGCAGCGGGAGACACCCAGCACCCAGGGACACTGCAGCCCTCAGGCTCCTCGGCTCCTCCGCGACACATGGGAAACCTGAGCGCAGGCAGAGCGATAGAAATTCATATTAGATCTCTCAGCTTTTCCACGAGTGTTTATAAATTGCAAGACCACAAGTACCTGGCTTGTGGATATCCCAAACTCTTTGGCCTTTTTTGCCACATTCTTAATAGCTGCAAGTTTAGCCCACCTATGACCACTTCCAAACTCTTCACTTCACCAAGTGTGAGAACCTGGGACAGCTGGGAGAAGACACTTATAAATCCTGATAACTTGGCAGACGAGTCCTGTTTGATTTTGGAAAAAAAGATGAAGTCTATTTAGGCGAACAGGACCCAGGTCTCCAGTATTCTTTCACTGTTGCGTGCAAAATAGGTATAAAAAGTTTTCTTGTTGAGTTCCTATTGTTTAATCACTTTGTACTAGCTTAAATCATCTCAAAAGTTACAGGATTGCAGAGAACTAGGTAAGTCCTATAGCATCCACAGAGTTAAGGATAAATAACAGATTTTACTGTTCATCATGACTTTTAAGGTTAAGCTATTATTTCTTTTCTTAAATTCTTTTAGAAGTATTTAAATAGTTATAATATATCTTCTTTTTAATAAACGAGAACTGAGATTTTTATTTTATTTTAATATCTAAGATAAAGCCAAAATGTCAACTGGCATTGAAGAAGACAGAAAATGGTTCATTCTTTCTGAAAATATATTTTTACCTAGTGAAATACTGAAGCTTTATAAACAAACAAGACACTAAATTCCACAGTCATTTGGAAACTGCTTGGCAAGACATTTTAAGGTTCAACAAATTTGGGTAAGACTTGGAAAGAACTGTGAGATGAGACTTTCAAAAGCAACTAGTGATTCTGGGCTTGCAAACTGCAGTAGCTGACAGTCTAATTTTCAGAATTACAAGAGTGAGAAGCATCCCCCTCTGAAGTTATGCTCTTCATGGTGTCAAGAGGGCCATGCAGTACCCCTAAACCTTGATTAAAATTTCGTACTTTATTCCCTTTAAAGCAATTTATGATGACCTCATCTGCTGGATGGCCCAAATCTCAGGCGAGGGAGCAATGTCAGCACCTGAGCCCGTTGAGTCCTTGGCCTTTCTGCTAAGAAGAACATCTAAGAGCAGGAAACTGGAAGATGGTTTTCAGGGTATAAGCCCTTGCAGGGTGTGAACTCTGGCCACTGACTAACACACGGAGAGCAGAGCCATCAGGTAGCAACAGCTTCTTGTCCTGACCACCCTGGGCTTGCGTTGGGATCAGTGACCCAGGGACTCCCTAGTGCAAGTCCCCCAAACTACTCATGTCCTGTAAAGGATACAGAGTCTGTTCAAGTCTATACATCATCTACTCAAGAAAGAGTGGGCACATTCAGCTGCTGAGCTAACAGTGCCCACAGAAATCATGCTGGTAGCATCGTTCTGAGCAAACCGTTTCATTCGCATAAAGCAACCTGAGGACTGCAAATCTATTTTCTCACCCACTAAAGGGCAGAAGTAATGTTTGGATGCTTGACTGTCTTGTGCTGAGGATGCCACTCTCCTAAGCAGCAATTTGAAATACGTGTCTTTCATGCTGGCAATACCTTTCATCATCAAAGAGCTTTATACATTGTACAGTTGGCACATGGAGCAGTAGCGATGATTTCACCCACAGATGAATTATTTCAGCTGTCTGCCTTAAACAAGGCTCAATAGTTTAGGATGATCCAATTGAAACTCTCAGAAAAGTTTCTGAAGGCAAGTTCTTCCAGGGCAGAAAAGGACTTGAGCTACAAGAGGGCACAGGCTGGAGCACAGTGTGTGTTGGTGGGAGCACCAGCCTCTGGAGTAGGGCCAGCTGGAGTCCAACCAGCCCAGGCAGGCAGATGAACGTGGGCCTGTCCGCACAAGTCGAGGCGAACATGTCCAAGGT